TTGCAAGTATATATATAAGTATGTCCATACTTTCGTATGTACGTACTTTCTAAGAGTATTTAGACACCACTGACAGACGGTGAAGGAAAACATCGTGAGGAAACCTGGACATGCAATTTCACAATTATTAGTTTGAAATCAACAACCCGTCTTGGGCAAGCGTGATGATTAATGCTCAAACCTTCTCCATGAGAGAAAGAGGCCTTTACTCAGCAGTGGGCTTCTGATAGGCTGATGAGTAGTAATATTATCTTTAGTTTTTTTATAGTCAATGATTTTAATATAAATATATCTGTTTTATATATAACGATTTTTTTATAAAACGAATGAAAAAAAGAAGAGTAACAAAACAATTTTAGGGGAAACATGAATTTAAATTAAAATATTCTTATAAATATTACTACATATTTATTTCAACATAAAATATCCCTTGAACTCAAAAACAATGTTAACAAAGATAAGAGCTAGTGAAATAGCATTATATTATACTTAAATTTATTAATTTACTTTCGCCTTTGTATTCTTTATGCACTTCTTTTTCTAGTAGTTTTTCAAGTCCTACATTAAAAGAGGTCGGTAACTTTAAGATTTCTTAAGACAATGCACTGGGTTATAACATTTTTAACTGATTTATTTCTTCTCATTATTTGCATTGTTATTTTTAAACATAGTTTCTTTTTGATGAGATTGGTTCTAAGATGAAAACAATTTTATCGTTTTATACAAAAACTATGTACATTCTTAACCCTTTCTGTGTTTGTATAAAAAATTGGAGAGTGTAGTTTATTAAGAAAAGTAACTAATAACATACATATGTATATATGTACGTTGTTAAGAAATATAAATGTAACATTTTAATATAAGACTCTTCGATATTATATCATATAATTATAAATGGTTGTGTTAAAAGAAGAGGAAGACAATTTCTCGCTAAAAGAAAATCTTTGGCATTATTAAATTTCAGTGCCACTTCAATCATTCCCCTTCAACAGAAATATTTTCAATGACAATGGAGCATGCATAATAAATTTAGAAGATAAAGCACTCTCTAATGGAAATGGAAAAAATGTTTTTCTATATATAAAATTTTTGCTACTCAAATTGTTCTTTTATTTTATTACTGTTTGTAGTCTGTCACTCACTGTTTATCATATGTATTTCAGCCTGATTAAATATCGTCTTAACAAACTGCTAGCTTAGGATCGAAAGCCACTGAAAAATTGCAATCTACAAAAATTTTATAAAATTTAAGCTTACGATAGTTTCATTTAGAAAATAAAATTATTTTTACGGTATTCGAAAAACACGCTATGTCCTTGCTAAACAATCTCTAATCTATCTAAAATTGATTTTTATTTAATTTAAACTATACTCGTACTTTCAGACTTAAGTAAACTTGGTTTTAATGTAGTCTGAGTCAAAATACAGACTTAAAAATCAATACAGTTACTTCTTCTTCTTCTTCCTGGCAATTTTACAGCATTAACCAGGGTCTGCCTTACATGATGTAAATAGTTTTGGCTAATTATTTTTACGATCGGCCGCCTGCTTGACAACAACCCTCTTTGGGAATACAGTTAAAAATCAATACAGTTACTATCATACTGCAATGAACAAACCATTCATTACTAAATGAGTTTTTCATACAAATTACATTTCTCGTTATTCGCTTGAGTATAACATATGCACTTACGTTATACCAGTATAAATTAATGCTCATTCATATGCCAAGATTGGAATATTATTGAGATTTAGCATCAGTATGCGATATCAGACATGAATATGTTAAATACGTATCAATGTTGGAAGACGTTCCTGATCATGACTGCTCTATTAATAAATAAGAGTACATATATATTGCTATATGATTACGACTAGGTATTAATTAACGGTATTATTGACTTTATTATTATTTATTTGTGATAATTTATACTATTATGTATTATATTAGTCGTTGGTTTGCCAATACAACTTATACAGTGTGACTGGTGAATTACTATCTATATTTAAGGAGCATACTCGGTACATGATTCTCATTCGAATTATGTAAAAAAAATAGGTACTTCATTTTTGACCAAATTTCCGTATAAATGAATAAAGTGTGGACACGTTCCAAGTGTGGACGCGTACGGTGGCGTGCTGATACAACACCACACCGCCGCACGCGTTTGTGTGTGTATACCTAATCTGTATGGTGTTCACACGATGCGTAATTAATTACATAACTTTTGGTTAACTTAGAAGTTTATTAATATTTATGTTATATTCATTTTTATTTTGTCATATATGACAAAATAATACCGTTAAGTAACTATCGATACTTGAAGACGTCAAATTTCACGTCTTCAAGTATCGATAGTAATTCACCAGTCACCCTGTACCCTGTGAATGTTGGTGAGGACGCATAGATGGTATTTGTTTCTCTTATGTGCAAAAATTTCTCAACGGATTTTAATAAAACTTTAAAGTAATGTAGATTAGACTTCAGAATAAGACATGGACTATATTTTATCTTTTATTTTGGCGAAATTGCTGCAGTATCAACGAAAACAATTAACTTTGGTTTAAGTTAGGAGGAGGTTACAAGTTCCACTTTTCAGTCATAATGTGATTATAGAAGAAAGGTGTTGACCAAGAACGCATACCATTAATTGGTGAAAGTATGTACATAGCTTTCAGTGGATATCACGGCAGAAATAATACTTACCTTTGAGGCAGAAATAATACTTACCAGCAGAAATAATACATACCTTATAGATTAACTATAAACAGGTGTGAAATAAAGCACTGTTAATGTTTGCTATGTTTATTTGTCAAAGTTTTTTGCTTAAAACTATTTGTTACATAATATTCTCTATATTTATTTTATCGATAAAAAAACGAATACGACCGACTTTATCGATGTTGAAAAACTATTTACATTATATTTACACCTTATTCAATATGTAGTTCTAGCAGATTAACTACTATTGGTGCTATTTTAAATTGTGCACCTAGAATGAGTGTTACAGCAAAAGGAAACTATTATATTTTGGGTCATCTTATTCAGTACCTAAGTACGTGTTTGATATTAAACTAAATACAGACAGTATCTGGGTTTTCATTCATAAATTTTTATATTATCTTACGACATTTATATGTATCAAGAAAAATACTTGATATTTTTCTTCAAAATCATTCTGAGTATAAATGACCATTCAATTTCTGTGATATTATGAAAGTTTTTCAATTAATAATAGTGTTTTTTTTTAGAATTTAACGTCAATATTTTGGTTTTCATCTACTATGTTACTCATACTACGGGATACTGCTCTCTGATTATTCAACATATATTTACAGTAAGTGATTAACAACAATAAACATGTTATTTTTAAATAATTTTATTGCTATTTATTATATTATAAATTATATCTTCTCTTGTCAGATAGTGAAGTGATATCGAAATTGACGGTAAGTTTTTATTTTAAACAAATTCGAGATTCACTAGAGCATTACTTAAATAATTTTGACGAAGTTGCAAAAGCATGCCTAAATTATTGTATACTATTTTTAATTATAAAACAAGTGAATTAAATCATAATATATTTTTATATATATTAATTGGTCTGATTTAATGTGATTATTTCTATATTAGCTAGTGTTGATATTTGAAATCAAATCAAGTCAAATCAAATCAAATAAACCAAATAATTATTCTTAACCACTTGTACATGATACAGATTTTAGTTAGTGTTCTTCCTTAATTAAGATTTCCCTATTTTCTTTTGAAGGGATAAGTGGAGTTAAATTTTTATATGGTGTGAAAAAAAATACTTTTCAAATTACCAAAAGCTTTTATAAACTCCTTGAATTAATAAAAGTCTTTTGATATTGTATAATGTGTTTAGATAAATCTAAAAGAATTCCTAAATGCTTCTACATACATAATTAAATTATCATATTATAGTTTGACGTATTCATAAATGTAAGAAATTTTCAAAACAGTCTTAGCTATTTCGTGTCGTGTAATATATTTACAATCTAAAAGTAGTTACAACAGCTGAATTAAAGACGTGTAGACGTGTATTAAAACATTACTGGAAATATGACGTATTGACGAAGAAAATAAAGTCCAAAATCCCATAATATTTCATACATATTTCTTTTACTTTATTCATTTAGGGTCATCAATAACAACTTAACTTCGTTTAATAAGTATAATTTAAGTAATTTTTTATGCTTTCTTTTCTGTAATCCACATCATTTGTTAAAAGAGAAATATATTTTCATATTATTATACATTTTTCTCCTAAATTACGTTTCCCTACATAAATAATCTCAGATTGTTTTAAACCTCAGATGTATTCTTATCTCTCCTATTCAGTCTGATAAGTTTGAAATAAAGAAAATCTAATAGAATCTATATCTAATATACTTTATATATAGCTATTATTTTCAACATATTTTTTTTTTATTTCAGCAAAATCTCGTTGCACGAAATTAAATATCTTGTATGGCCCACGGCTCATTTTGATCAAACCAATCTTCTCTGTGTTAAAATTTAATTCTATTTAATATAAGAATATAAAAAATTAACTAAACTTATTCTCCTGTGTAAAAGTATTTTTACACAACAGAATCATTACAATCATTACATTTACATCAGAATCATTACAATCAAAATTGTGAGTAAAAAGATAAAGCAAGCAAAATAAATATTTGTAAAAATTAATAACTACACTATTTTGATATAAATGCCTTTTTCTCTAAGTTTACTTTACAATAATATTCCTTAATATATATTATATTGAACCAAATATGTTAATTCATTTCAATACGTCGTATCCTTGGAATGGGAAAATAGTGATGACGATAATTAAATAATACCGTGTTATCACCTACAAATATGCCATCAAATATATCTATCCTTTTCTTATATCTTACGATAGAAAGTGACAAATATAATTCACATTAAATTAAGTGAAAAATTATTTATATTTTATATTAGATTTGTCTAACTTTCATCTAAATCCATCAACGGTGCTTGTGTATAACGTAGCGAGGGAACAGTACAGTGAGATGAGAAGATTAACCGACAGCGCGCAGGGGGATGCTGTGTTTGTGTTTCCGTGCTGCATCGCTGCTGGGTGCTCGCCTGTTCACAAAGAAAAATATTTAAAATCAATTTTAATATTCATTTTCAAGTTTCCCTCCCTCGACATTGTGTACCAGTATTTTTTTTTTACTATTAATTATATTAATAAATCAATATTTTTAATCATCAAAATAACTTATAACTAATAAGTAATTTTTACAATACTGTAATAAGTTATTACAATCAGGATTTACAAAACATGTTTGACATGAGATTAACGCTATCATTATCCGCGTTGGATACGTATGGGAATTGAAATTAACCTGATGTATACATTTACATTTTTAGTTCATATGATGTTTAATTTATTATTTTATAATAATATTAAAATCATTACAGTAATTACTTGTTTTTGAATAATCTAGTCTATTTTTTTTCACATCGGACATCTGTGTAAAGATATTACGAACTCTTTATTACGACTCGGTAATTTTAGTTATTTATTTAGATTATAAAGATAGTAAAGAATCTTAAAATCACAAATGTATTGAAAATAACTTATTAATAATGAAATATATCCTGATCTAAAAACCTTTGTAATAATATAATTATAAGAACAATATTAATTAATTGTAGTTTGATGTCGTATTTGTTCAAATTAGTGACGATGAAAATGGGTACAATTATCCCTTAAGTGGTATTTTTTCATTATCATTTATTGCAAATCATTAATGTAAAAATCTTTTTCTATCATATTATTTATAAATACTAAATATCTTGCCAAAATAATCTTTTATACAACAAATACTTTTGAAGCGGATCTTTGAAAAAAGTTTGGCTGATACGAAACCCTTTTTCTACGTCTCAACTTTGACTAAGTTTATCGCAAGTTTGACATCAACTTAAGAACTTTATTATTTGTCATGGTCGTGAAAGATGACTGAGTTATTAAGGTCATAATATGTAACAAATTATTAGTTTGCTTTGTTACTTTGTTTACTTTTGTTATAATTGTTTGTTATTTTTGGTAAAGATATTATTTGGTTACAAATAAGTTCGTCGTCATAGTCATCAGCCTATCAGAGCCCCACTGCTGAGCAACGGTCTCTTTCAGAGGAGAAGGTTTGAGCATTAATCACCACGCTTGCTCAAGACGGATTGGTGATTTCAAACTTATAATTGTGAAATTATAATTCCAGGGTTGCTCACCATGTTTTCCTTCACCGTTTGTCACAAATACGTCCAAAATTTTTAATTTATCATATCATAACAATCATATTAGCTTATAATAAAATTAAAAGCGATTGTTATATGCACAACTTATTCATATGTTCTTGATTTTGTTTAAATATTTCGTTTATTAATATATGTATTTTAATCAAATATACATCAAAAGAAATCTAAATACGAGAGGAAAATATTCGGGTTTTATGTGTTGATGCTAAATTGAAAGAAATTTTGCTTCCTATTACGCCAGATTTAAATTGAAATGTTTCCTTAATACAACTCAGTCTGGCAACCTTAAAAATACGTTAGTATTTTATAAATCCCGATATAAATTTATTGAGTCCGACGTCAATAAAGTCACTTAATTCAAAACGACAGCACTTAAGTATATTGATTGTGCCACTACCTTAGAGAAAATTTACCTGTGTGATTATTAATATTTTTAGCGAGGTAAGTAAGAAGTTACATATTTTCATTCAGTATAATTTCTGTTTTTAGTTTTGATTTGTCTCATCTTTTATTAATTTTATTATAGTTTTAAATTATAAAATACTTTTTATATTACTAAGTGCGCTCTTTAAATCATTACTGTTATAAATAAAGTTTATCTGATGGTTTAAAATGTTTAAAATTATTTAGAAAGGCCGTGAAAAGTTAATTATCAAAACGTCTGGGAAACAACATCCTGGCGATCAGTTTTCAATGATTCCTTATTCCTTGGTATAATTTAAATGCAACATACTAAAAATATATGAGTCATTATTGCTTAAATTTATAAAAAAATGATATAAACATTTGTTCTGATTGAGCCAGAAACTTCTTTTAAGTCAGATTCCATACAAAATCACCTGTTTCAATTAGTATCGTGAAGAAGACACAAAGCAAATAAAGTATGTCTGTTATAAGATAAATCACCTTTAATTATTTATTTATAATATAAGGAAAAAACGCACTAACCGTTTATAACGTGTACATTGACGGAGGCAGTTTCAGCCATTGTGGGAACGCAGCTGTAATTACCGCTGTCTGTTGGTTGTAACTTGTCGATAGTCAACCGTGACGACAGTTGTTCGGTCCATTCCGTTTTGAGCCTAATCCTTTGCTCTTCCACTTCGTTTGCTTCTAATTCTTTGTATTCTATTAATTTTGATCCTGTCAAAAGAAATATATGATATAAAATAATAAACAGAAAGCCTTGCGTGTTTAGGAAATTCGTGATTTATCAATCTATAACATTGTAACCTTATTCTACTTTTGCTATTTAAATAAATGTTTATTAGAATTATTATAAAATAAAATAACATACGAGGATATTTCGCTCAAATTGAAATCACAATGAGCAATAAACGAAGTCTTGGTTAAATTATGAACGGTAGACTGGGAAGCTGTAACGAATCAATAAAACATCTATTCAATTAAAGCTGAGAACAAAACCATTGTAACGGAAACATAGCAGTCAATTGAAAAATCGTTCCATCTGGGTTAAAGATCGTTCGACTGTATGAAAAGACATTTTATTGATACCAAAGTATAGGCAATTTGCCAAAGATACGAGCGCCTCGATTAATGCTCTAAAGGAATTGCTTCTGTTATAAAAGTGTAAAATAGATTAAAACGAATCGGATAACGCAATGAAAGAAAGAAATTATAATTACTGCTGTAAAAGATTTTTTACATTCAGAAATTGGGTCGCACCAAATGATCGTTATATTTTTTTTTTTCGGGAAAATGCAACGTTAGATACTTGGGATGAATTACGACGGCTCTTTTATACACATCTGTATTCAATTACGTAACAATATCACTTTTTGAATTTTTTACGTATTTTCATAGAATTTCAACATACATTTTTGGTAAAAATACAATAATTTCAATCAAAATCAATGTACTTCTTTGGTCATTTTATCTTCTAAATCGCGACTCGCTTGCTACTAAGCAATACAATTTCAAGACTATGAAAATAAAGCAATTATATCTAATAATCCCTCATACTACTACTAAAATATAAGTTAATATCCACAATATATTAGAGTCACATATATAAATAAATGTTTATTTCTACTTATAATATTCATGAAAATTTTTACGAAAGGGTTAATACTCGTATTACTAATATTTCCATACATAATAAATAAAATCGTCGAACAACTTACCCTTATACCAAAATATGGTGCCTAAATCGTGAGGTCCTTGACTCAAGATACACGTTAATGATAACAAACTGCCCGTCTTCACATATAAGTCGGCTGGACCCAAAACTTTCGCTTTGGCCTCTGTAACAAAATGGTATATATTTTATGAATACACTCACACTTAATATAATTGAAATTATTACATTAATATTATAAAGATAACTTTCAAAAACTTTCTTGTAGAAAAGTTAATTATGTTGAAAGTATTTAAGACTTATTTTAATTTAATTAAATCTTGGTTCTTTAGTGAGATGTTCAATTCATTTGACAGAGATTCCGATGTAAAATGAAATAATAGCATAACATTATAACTTATGTTCATACCGATAGGATAACAATAGAGAACTATTGTTGAGTCGAATAGTTGAGTTGGTAGCCTAAGTTCCTTAAAGCTTTGGTTTGGATACGTACCCAATATTATGTTTAGAAGTACTAATCTATCATTAAAGATGTTTACGGAACTTGAAGCAATTTGCTTTAATATCATTATTTTCATTTTGATACATTCTATCTGTCTACTATGCAATATTCTCTATCCCTTCATATATTTTTATACTAAAGACAAGCTTATAATATCTATGTAAACTGTTTATTTAAATAGGGCGTGTTCTTTGAATAGCCACGCTGAAAAAAATATAAAAATTGTATAAGTCTCCTCAGTTGTTAGTTAAATTTAATGAAAGCATAGATTTGAAACACAATTAATAAATAATTACGTAATTAGCTGTGGGACATGTTGCTAATATTCGGAATAATGGTAACACTATTCTGATTAATTGATTCGCCAAATCCAGAGTACATTACACGAGAGATTTATTATTGTCGATAATTATTTCTAATTAATCGTCCGTCGCTCTAGAGATTAATGGTCTAACAAAGTCTGTGTTTTGATAGAAAAGGAAGTTTGATCATTTTATAGAAGAAAATAAACTATAGTATAGTTTTATTAAGTGAAGATAAAATATAAGCAAAATATATAGCAAGAATCTCTTCGAAGAGACGTAGTAATGAGAAGTGTAATAACTCACACTGGTCTAATTATTCATTTCATTTAAAACTGTTTCCAAACCAGCATCAAATATTAATTGAATTAAAGAATATAGGATTGGGTACTTACATAAATAATATTGTATATTGATTGATATGTCTATTAAATTAAATAAATTAAGGGATATTTAACTTTGCTCTCAAATCACGAATTGGTAGAAAAAAAATCATTGACGTGTTATTTGTTTTATACAAAGTGATGTTAAAAAAAATGTTAGCCAAATAATAAGGCAGTAACAAATTAATTAACAAAAAATAGCAAGCATTACAAAAATCACCAACTGACATGTACTTGTTGGTGAATATTTAAAGTTTTCAAGGAATATTTCTCAATATCGTACCTACCTTTATTAGTATAAGAAGATTTTTAATAAAAAGATGAAATCAAATTAAGGTTAAACACGACTAAGATAAGGCGAATATCGTGTAACAATTTTTTTTAAATAAAAAACGTATTCCAGGGTTCCATTCAAGATTTAATCTTCGTTGTAAATGTTTCTGTGACTTTTTTGTAAGGTTAAGTTGATATCCCGAGAAGTACCATCGACCGATATAAGTTGGAAATTGAAATTGGGGTTTTTGTGTAATGTTTATTTCAATATTATTGTATATAAAATTTAGAATTTCCTTTATAATTAGTCTTTTTATATGTAGTTAGTCATATTTGAATTTTACATGTAAATAATTACAGTTAAAAGTTATCTTCTCTTCTACCTGGCAATTTCCCAGACATAGCCAGGGTCTGCCTTACATGTTGTGAATAGTTTTGGCTACTTGTTTTTACGACCGGCCGCATGCCTAACATCAACCCTCTTTTTAGGAATCAGCATTAATCAGTAATGTCTAAATACTCTTACAAAGTACATATGACTCGGAAAAATCACATTGGTACTTGCCAGGGCCCGGGTTGAACCCGGCCCTCGTGTATGAGAGGCGGGCCTTTTGACCACTAGGCCACCGCTGACTTACAGTTAAAAGTTGTAACCCATAATTTTGATATGGAATAGTTTATTCAAATCAGTAAAATGTATTTGTAAACTAATTTTACTAAAAAGAAGGAGTTATAAAAATTTTAAAATTAATTAATAGCATTGTGTTTTACTTTTATTATTTGTGAAACGTATTTACTATTTTTTGTTAAAAAAAATGCGTGTATACATTGAATATATCATATTCACTTATTAATTTTACAGTCAATTACTATATAAATATTGTTTGTTTGAATTGTGTATACATTCATGTGTATGAACGGATCTCGAAGGAATATGACATATATGTATATCTTAGTCCAAGTAAGTACAAAAATATACTCGATCCCTGAAAAGTATAAATTCAGTTAAATAAAACTGTTAAAAAAAACATATAAGTAAGAAGTCAGGACGTGTAGAGTAAGAACAAAGAGAAGTCTGAAATGATTCTTTATGGGACATTATATTCATTCACTTTCTTACATAGTCCCAACGATAATTCTGCATAATGACATCATAATATAATATTATCAATAGGATATATTCAATTGGAATCGCCATGTCGATGTAAACATCGTTGTCAGTTTGTGATAAAAACAAAAATCTCCATCATTGTAATAAATGTCGTTTTTATTAGGATTTTATGTAGTTTTCCTCTTCTTGAGAATGTATTATTGTACTGTTGTAAATTGTTTGTTTCGTAGTTTTAATGACATTTTTTTATTGACGCCTCTAGACAGAGAGGGTTCTTAAAAGATTAACTGTGTATTTAAAAGTTTATGAAATGTTTTGATTTACGAATTGCATTCTTTGAATAATATCTCAGTAAATATTATACATACATCACTTTTAATTTTTAAATTTAATTTTTAAATGGCATTTGCTTAACATTTGATCGCACTCAGCCTATAAGAAGCCCACTTCTGAGCAAAGGCCTCTTCTCACATGGAGAAGATTTGAGCATTAACCACCATAATTACTCGTCGGGTTTCAAAATTACAATTTGAAATTATAAGTCCAGGGTTCCTCACGATGTTTTCCATCATCATCAGTCAGTTGTATCTAAATACTCTTAAAAAGGACATATGTATGACTCGAAAAAATCACATTGGTACTTGCCAGGTTTTGAACCCGCGCCCTGATGCACGAGAGGCGGGTCTTTAACGACTAGGCCAATACGACTTTTTGATATGGTACAAATAAATAAATTTGTTAAGAAATATATGTAAGTAATTTTAATATTTTTCAGGATATTTTCTATATCTAACCAGTATAATGAAAATAGTAATACAATTAAGGATCATCTCAGCAACAATACGGAAAACTAGAACTAAATTTGTCATCCTTAAAGATATTAACTATGCTCAAATTGCATCATAAACTGTCGTTGAGGGTGCAATTGTCGTTTACGAAAAGTTTCACAATGAGATGTAAGATTTAGCAGTTAAGTTTTAAGATTATTTGACGGTAATTTACAACGCTTCTTTATTGGATCTCATTAAACAGCGCACACGTTACCTTTAATGAAATAAGATTTTGAATGTAATCTTATGTTTGATGTTTTTTAATATGATCTGTTTAACGACGCACTCAGAGAAATTATATTTTAGTTCAGACTTATTTTTGATTGGAAAACATTATCATTTCGGTTTTGGTTCTATAAATTTATGCGAGTATTTGTTTAGTAATGAAATGATTTAGAGAATATGACATTTTTTTAAATAGTACAATGAAGAATATATAAGAATTAGTTCTCAAAGTACTTTATGAGTATTATTGTTGATATTATGTTTTATATACTTTTACAAAAAAGTGTTTTTCGTAATTATTACGTTAACTATTTGGTTCTTTATACAAATGTAATTTCCAAGAACAGCAAGCGTCAGTCAACATGAAATGAATATCCAATTTTAAGATCACCAATATTTTAAGCTTTTAGCATAAAATTATATTGTTTGTCATATTTTGAAGATCTTGGGAAATAAAAAATTATAGCGGATTGGCAAGCGGTGTTAGGTATGTAGGCAAAGATCAAATTTAATTTTTTTAAACTAATCTATAAATATTAAATTAAAAATGACTTGACAATACAATAATCGTTTATTATTAACTTCAAATGTTTATATAAGGACCATAAGTTTTCCAACTACAAGATAACTTTAGATTTCAAATGTTTTCAGTGATATCGAAATTATACGGAAATTAAATTTGACATTTATTTGTTGTATTAAGAATTTTTTTCACAAAATAAAATATCGCAATTTTGTCCAAATAGACACATACGTCAATCAAAGTAATGAGTAATGATATTACTGTGCGTAATGAACATTGAGTCTGTAGTCAACCATTAGAATAACATCTATCTCATGTTACCTAAAGCAAAACAACGGCAGAAAACCATTCTTACTTAGAACCAATCTATAACGCAAAAAAATATAACAATATTTATCTTACAATATTAGTAAAAATATTTCTTATATTTCCTCTTCTTCTTCTACCTGACAATTTTCCAGCTTTAGCCAGGGTCTGCCTTACATGTTGTGAATAGTTTTGGCTACTTGTTTTTATGACCGGCCACCTGCCTGACATCAAACCTCTTTGGGAATGCATTAATCAGTGATGTCTTAATACTCTTATAAAGTACAAATGTCTACGAAAAATCACATTGGTACTTGCCAGGGCCAGGATCGAACCCGCGTCCTCGATCATGAGAGGCGGGCCTTTTCACTAGCAGGCCACCACTGACTACCATATATGTATATTTCTTATATTTCCTAACGCATATAAATGAATTTGGATAAAAAATATTATTCAATTGAATCGGGATAGGAAGTTTTATTAAAGTAAATTGTAGTACATTGAATACAGGCTTTTCATTATTACTTACAGTTTTGGTTTCATGGAAGTTACTTTACCGTATTCAGTGTGTAAAAAAAGATACAAAAGCTTTCAGCCTCCTCATTTATGGGATGGATTGCAACTGTAGTAGTTAATTTAATGCGATCTTTTAGTGTTGAAGATGTTCTAGGAAAAAGATCACCGGCTATAGCCATAGGCATAGCATTT